CGCATCGTGCACGACGCAGGGTCGCCTTAGCTAGCTAGCAGAGCGCTGGGCAATGGCATTGCACGAGGGGCGTAGCGAGTGGGTACATGTGCGCGGAGACGTGTGGGTGTGTGCGAATGTTCGAATACAGCCAGAAACGGGCCTGGAGCCGAACCCAACGTCATCACCATAGAATAGATGCGATGATATGATGCCCCGAGCCGCGTGCTCCCGCGACGAGCGCAAGGATCGAGATGAGAGCGGAAGAGGCAGAGGAGAGGCGTGTGAGAAGTGTAAATGAACATGCCTTGCCGTTGTTGGAGCTGCGCAACGGGCGGACCATGGACGGGCGATCCCATCGCACTCACCTCGGATCCGGGGTGTCACCTGTGGGCGACTGTGTTCGCTATTGATTTTCCGTATCCGCCTCGAGGCGCACTCGTGGCACGCCTTCTCCAGCACGCCCTGATAGCGAGAATCAAAGGCATCATTTCGGTCAATAGATAGGGAGATGGATTAGTCACCGCGAAGTTTATGCGTGTGCGTGGCGTCTCCAGTACGTAGGTAACGCAGGGAGCGTTGGCGCGGTTGACGAGGGATCCGTGGCAGCTGTCGACAGCGAGCGTTGCCATGGACGAGCTTGCATCGAGGTAAGGCAGCGTCTCAGGCGGATGGGGGCCATTTACGCACCAGAGTCGCCGAGGAAGAAAGATGCTGGGCCCAGAGACGATTTGTCCAGAGCAATGTAACACGAAAGTCAGAGTCATGCTAATAGGTACTCGAAGAGTAGACTGGAAAGGGACAGTGCGTGAAACGTGACGCCTTCACTGCAATCCGATCGCCGAGATTGGCTACCGGCCGGAAGCATCGGATCAGGATCTCGGCCGGCGCCGAGGAAAGTTGAACTTGACTCGAGTCTTCGATAGTCTCATACTTGCGCTGGGGAGTGTCTGGGCTTGTTCATTTTCAACGTGGGCACGTTCGGGAACCGAAATCATTCTTTCTGTGTGCAGAATGTGACCGGAATACATGTGCGTTTTGTGCTATTGTGTCCTGATTAATTCGAACAATGGCGTCTCAGACAATGGCCTTCAAGTTCCAGGTTCCCAGGTTTGGCCTTCGTTGTCTAAGTCCAAGTCCTGACACTCCTGGAGTCACTCTTATGCTCGCTATTCGCAGCTCTCTCCAAACCTCTACACTTCTCTATATGCTCATTAACTGACGGCTTCATCCGACTTTCATTATTCTCATTATTCTCAAGATATCCCGATGGAAAATACCAAAAGTGAGGAGCACATACGTGGGTGAGAAGACGCTCCTTTTCTGCACTCCCGCACGGATTAAAGATCTGATGGGTCAACTACTCGCCTGCTCTTCCTGACATCGAAGCCTGCATTGGAGAAGATCACAATGTCCGCTCATTTCCAAGTGTACATCAAGTCTATGATGCGGAGGTTCGTGACTCTGGGGCCTTCGAATCCTGATACGGAGTGAAATCATCACCATTCTCGTCGAGATACTGTGCAGGCGCCCCACTATCACCCACGCGCTTGTAGCGCCCCCTTAGCCTGGTCCCCCCGCTCTGTTTCGCTTGCCGTGGACATGACCATCAAGCATGTGTCTGGGCTCATATATCCACTTACGGAGTCATATCCAGGAAATATCGATCTGACGCGAATGGCGCCTTGTGCTTCGAACATGGGCGCAATTTCCTGTCGCGGTAACGGCCACTGCGGCGATTATCTCGTTTCTACGGCCGTCCGGCATGGCCTGTTCCAGCCAGACCTGTCCATACTTCGGCTTCCATATCTCCTGGAATCTGTCGCCGTGCGACCCCCGATAGAAGAGGGTGCGTCCGCGGCTAGGTCGCCCCTATGAGCGTGGCATTGGAGGCCCGCCTTCCCGCCGTCTTCCATTTTGTACGTTTGGCGCGGAAATCATCTTGTGATGACCTCCTCCCCCGTAGCCAACGTGGGTTCAGTGCGGGGCTACATACTCCCCCGCGCAATGATCGGCTATTTTCGAACTGGATAGGCAACGGTTTTTGCCCGCTCCCATCCCAGTGTTCCACTTTCAGCCGTGCACTTTCCGTTTCTGTATCAGCTTGTTCCGCACATCATGTCAGGTTTGCGGCGCTGTAAACCCTGAATGGACGCATCCGTGGCAGCGAATGTAATCAGATTTAAATCGAGCCATAAAGGCAAGTCCAATTATTACGCCCCATTTTTCGCAGATGGTAACTATGAACGGCAAGTCCTATGTAGGGCGCAACCCGCGGACGTTACTGTAGCCTCGTGGTATCCCGCTCGGGATATTCGTATAGAGCCGATGTCAGACTGAAAACAAAGGCCCCGCCTTTTTCGCGCAGCTCCGCGCACACACGCCACATAGCGCATCTATCTGAAACACTACTTAATCAGTGGAAATGCACTATTTTGTCACAACCTCATTGGCATCTCCTGGAAGATGGGCGCGCAGGATCGAGAGCCCAGACTCTGCTCTGAAATCGACTTTTCGAGGGGCCTTCCCCATTGGTGGCGCGCCCCTTTGGTTCTACATGGCCATCGTGTATCTCCAGCAGCGCAGACATCTAGCTGCCCTTGAAGCCCGCGCGCCACCCTGCTCTGCCGAATTGGCTCCCTCGGTCCCAGCCACAGTGGGTAATTCATGGGACATTTGTGCACATGCTTCTTAATCGGTCACCGTGAGAACGTCCCATCCTCCGGCGACAATTACGTGATATGGACTGCCCCGCGATGCAGAAGAGCTTCGAACAAAGCATTTTCCCAGCGCCCGCACGCCGACGAACGCTGCACCTGGTCATTCTGAAACGCACAGATACAGGCCTGGCTGGTTGGGACTCTGAGTCTTAGCGCGGGTTGCGCGCTACGGAATATAGTAACATGAACTCGAGGCCCATCTGTCACGCGTCAACAGAACCTACCGCAACACGTAGGAGCGACGTATGCAACCATTACTGAACGTGTAATGACTTGGACGCGCAGTCAAGGCATAAAATGGACTGCAGTGTATCATGAGCAGCAAAGGGCCCACAGCTTAAGATTATCTAGAATAGAAGACAGGACCACGATGTATGGATGAATCCAAAGCCCGTTGACGGGCTCGGCGTCCAGGTAGTGTGAGATGAATCGGAACAACTTCAGTGCAACCTAACCAATCGAGGCTTACCGTTAGGCATCAGTCAATTTTTGCCCCTCTCGCCTTCCTCTTTCCTCGCTCTCGCCCTCTCTTCGCTCTTTACCCCTCTTTCGCCCCGTGCACCGTCTGCCGATGACGCATCATCGAGTCGGGACGCGTGAAATACTCCCCGCACCCCTCCGAGCACGCTATCTTTGTCGAGCGCAGATGCGTCGACGCAATATGCTTGGCAAAACTCTTATAAAACAGCGTTCGCTCCGATTGACACCCCGCCCAGCGGCAGCGCCCGCGGCTGCCCGGGTACCATTCAGCCGTAGGAGCAGGGGCGGGGACGCGCGCACCAGAGCGGGTGGCGTGGGGCACGTGTGTTGCAGGGGGCTGGGACGAGGACGACGGAGGGCCGAAGTGGTCCTCGCGCAGGTGCGCCTCGATATCGCTAAATCGCGCGGAGCAGAAATGTTTCCTGCAACCGTCCCACTTGCATGACAGCTCGTCCAGTGGGCCGTCTGGGAGGCTACTCTGCAGCGTTTCCGATGTGCTCGTCGGGCTGGGGCTTGAAGCCGCGTCCGGGGCGGGCAAGTCGCTGAAGGGAGGGTATCCACCGATGAAAGCAGGGAGGCCATGCAGTGCAGAGCCGGGCGCGGTCTCGATCCGGATCGTATGTTCAGGGTGTGAGAGCAGTCGCAGCCACTGCTGGATTTTGGGGGACGGATCCGTAAGGGGCCCGGTGAGGAATGCCTGCACGTCGGGTGGCAGCACGAGCGAGATGCTTGGGGTAAATGTCGGCGGCGCGCTTGCAAATGACGGAATGTCAAGGGTGGTAGAAGTAGACCATGCGTCTACGTCGTCGGTGAAAGGCGGTTCAATCTGGACGCTGAACAAGGTGGAGGAGGGAGAAACGGGGGAGGGGTGGTCATAGTATGCGTATGCGGATGAGTCAAGGTAGTTCAGCTCGAAGGAACGGGGTGTGCTGGGAACGTTGCTGGGGAAGGTACCTGGTGTTAGTACGCGGTGCGAAGAGGCCGTGGATGCAGACGTACGTGTTGGCGAAAGAGTCCATGACGGCAGCCGGACAACAGCGAGGGCAACGCTAACTAGGTATAGCCGATGAGCGAGGCGGAAGCGAGAGAGGCAGAACGAGTATATACCACGCGGGGGTGGTAGGGGGATGAGAGAGGCGGACGAGCAGTTATAGGGACCGGAGACCTGGATCATTTGGGGCTGCAAATTGCCGAATGTCGCGGCAGGAGCCCAAGAGTTGTGATCTACAGGCAGTGCGACAGCTTTCAGAGCGAGCCCGCCGCCGGCTATCGAAAATGTGGACCTGCTTCCTAGGGCTTGGTTCCCTCACATTCCCAGGCAGATACAACGCCAAACTGCACGCGGGAAGCCTTGACTACAGGCGCGCACTCACACGCTACTTCGTCAAGTTGGCTGCGATCAACCGTTCCAACTTAGAGTAATGTGGGACATACGTTGACTTTCGAACCTTGAAGTTGGTCATGTTCCCATTTCTCCAGTGCTTATCCTCACATATCTTTGGGTGCCGATACCCACAAGGATACTGCGAAGCATGCAATCCCTGGTTCAATATAAGTACACGCCGTGGGCTGCGGCCATTTTGGGGGGATGCCGGTGGCACCTACATCCGCCTTTATTTGCTGTTGTTGTCCTCAGATCCCACGACCTATCGACCCATCTCGATCATACAGACAATTTGGTCTGTCCACTGATCTCGCCAGTATCTCGCATATTGTCGGCTACTCTTTGTATACAAGGTCTAGCCGGATTAGTCGGAAGCAAACGTGAGTACTTGTATTATTGCGCATCTGAGAGGCCGGTGACTCCGTCGAGGCCATCTCGCCTGCTCGGCTGTGCACGTGGAGGACTCCATCGCTACCTACCAGGATAGTGGCCTCGTGTTAAGTGTACAAAACCCAAGCCTGCACCATTTAAGTTGTTTGCATCGCGCATCACCGCCACTGACCACTGGATTTTATCAGAAATATTGCCGAACCACCACGAGCGACGGCACCTTCGTCCCACGAATACCTAAGATGGAGTCGATGAACGTGGAATCTGATCGTTCACTTGGCATATCGTCTCGCAGGTCAGAGTCTTTCACGGCATCTAGAACTACCTAGTCATCTGCACGTTGGCAAGCGGGCGGCGGCATTCGCTCGTCGGTCTGTCAAGAACTCTTGAATGAGTCTGAAATTAGCCTGTTCGCTTGAGTAGCGTAAGGGATCGAATCGACGCTCAGATTCATAGTATGAAAAACACAGAAGAACAATGACAGTCGACAAATGGTTGAACCACCGCAATTTCATCATGCCGGGCTTCTCTCTGAGAGACAAGTCGTTGCGTCGCTTATCTAATTCAAAAGCAAGTACATAAAGAGGAGCTGGGCATTATGTAATTGTCACCTCTAGCTGTATTCTACATTGACCTCCAAGCTTCAAGCTTCAAGCTTCGGCCGGGCTTCGGTAAGCTCGGCGATCTCTGGACCTGTTCCCGCTTAGTAGGCCACCTAGTCTCATTGAATCTGTAAGCGCCGAGTTCCACTGGCTTTCGAGAACATTCTGTTGGCAAAAACGTTCTCCTCAGTTAATATAGTCATCTAAACACCAGACATAGACTCGCCTAGTGAAGCCGCACAACAAGAGGGACACGTTCAACTGATAACTTGTCGGCGGTTGCCGTTCAGGCTCGCCGATGTCTGTTCATCCCCGCCCAAACTGTCCGTTTATCCGTCCCACGCTAAGAGACATTAACAGGAACGACGACAAAGGGCAGCTGTCGGTAAAACGTCGGAAGGGCATCCCCCACCGGATCCGCAAGCAGTGAATGGAGCTATCACCTTCTCGAAGCTGGACACGAGCAAGGGCCGTGGTTTTATACCATGTTTACATCATGTTCTTGCATTTGCAATGCAACGTTCCAGAAGCTGATTATGCATTCATTGGTCAATAGCTATCAGGGAACCCAAGGCGAATGTATCAGAAGAACTTTGCACTGTCAGAGTTCCACAGGGCGCAATAGATATATCGGAAGTCGCAAAAAGATCGAAAGTAACGGAGAAAAGTAAGAGGATTCTGTGCAGCATTTGCAACTCTTGAGGGTGTCTCGGACATGTCAAATCTAAGTGGATGCGGACTCTTCACACAGGCTTCCTTCGCAACTGCAACTGGCTAGACCATTTTACGCAAACTGATAGGGAAGATGGTATGGGCACCGACGCGGTTCTGGGCGCGCACGGAAGGACTGAAGCTTCTTGCGATGATGCCACACATCTGTGCCTGAAACCGTGCTGCCGCATTCGGTAGGCGGTGCGCTGGTCACGACAACGTGGTATACGTCTGCATGGACGTCCCTGGGATGGGAGGCGGTGACGGCTTGGCAGCTTCGGACGACGCCGAGGCACCCGAGGTAGGAGCGGAAGTGTTCATTTGTGAAGTCTGTCACATCGTCCTTTAGGGTAAGAATCCTTCTTGTGAGATGGTGGAGGGGCACAATACGCCTTCCGCCGCCTCCGCCGAATCTTTCTCCAACAATCCCAAAACGAGCCTGTCGATGCTGTAAAACCGCGGTCAAGAGGAGTTTTTACTGGCGTTAAAATGCTCGTTTCTACGGATTGCGCCCTATCAACTAGATGAGCTGCGGAACTTACTATCTACACGGCATTGTGCGAGGTGAAAATTCAGACCCGACGACTAATAGTGGAGCGAGTTCCTGAACACGGGGCCATGTGGTCTTGCGGAAGGTTTACTTCGAAGTCCCACGAGAGCGCTGTTCAAGACCGGAGACGTCCGGAGTACGGAAGTAGTGCTATAGGTGGATAGAGCAGTACTCGCCTGTGTGGGAATATGGCGCTGTGAATCCATCGCCGAAGTTACCAAAATTATGAACATGTATATGGTATGCTGGCAGATGCAATACCCTCCCGGGTATGTGTCCAGTCTTGCGACATCAAAATCTAGCTGAATCAGACCGCTCAGAGTATAGACAAATTGTCGTACGAACCTGTGCGCATGTAAAATCACATAATTCTATAATTTACATAAATTATGTATAGGATACGAGAGCATGCTGCCGGCGTACATAACATTAGCTATACCGGTGGACAGCGATACTTTTATGGGGAGCCGCTTGAGGCTAGTACTCGTCCGACTGAGTTCATCGGCAACGGCCGATGTCAGCTGACGTAATTTCCCCACTATGTTCCCGCCTTCTACGCAAAGCCCCACAGGCTAAACCGAGACGGTGCGCTCAGTGCCATTCCTCGCCGTCTTCTTGGCTTGTTTCGAACTCTACTCCGAGATCGAGAACTCGCCAGTGAGGAGGTGCGACATCTGGTTCCCCCCTCGTCAATGAAGCCCTACTGCACAGGATGAATATTCAGGCTCTTCGAGTCCCCGAAGCACTTCTTGTCGACCGCCGTCCTCTGTGAATATGGGGGTTATTGACGCCACCTATTTCTATTTGTCATTAGTCCTTGAGAGTGACAGATGGGAACCATCTGGCAGCAACTACATACGTAGACGACTCGTGTATATCCTCTGCTGAGGCTGAAGTTCCCACTTTCAGGTTTCAAGGTCGCCCCAACTCGCTGAGTGCCTGTGCGTACTGTGACTGTACTCAATATTGGGAAGCAGTTACCCCTCTTCGATAATACCGAGTCACTACTTCCTTGGTAAGAATTCATTTCTTTGCTTTGAGTCTTTTATTTGACTTTATACGACCAACTCCTGTGATAGCCGCCATGGATTTGCTCACACTTGCCAATTACTTTCATACACCGTCTCAATATCTTTCGATGGTGATTACGGATATAACGTACCTTGGAATGCTCAACTATGTGCCAATGTCGCCTGACGTATCTTCACATGAGCTCCCGAGATACGAAGGCTCGTAGAGCAAATGTTGCAGACCTCCGACCGATTCTCGCAGCCGGTTGCAGTCTCCTGTAAGGTTATCGGTGCAGGTGTACGTCACTTACAATGTGTATGTGCATCCTGCTTTACCTGTTCATTCACAGCAGTGGTCGTGCGATGCACTGGTATCTGCTACCAGCTCGGCCATCAATCGTGTCTCCGTGTTGGCTCTAGCTTTCAGATTCGAGATACTTGGCGTGACACTGGGAATTATTGGATGAGTACTACCACTCACGATATCACATACACTTATGTACATGCAAGCAGAGTGTTGACCTCTCTCCAAGTTGGAAGCCGAGCTTGGGCAAGGCACGCCCAACCGCCTTCAAGCAAGCCTGTCTGGATATACTTTCCCATCCTGTAAATCCTGCACTGCAGTTTTGACAGATGATCACACACTTCAGATATTTACAGGTGGCGTCCCTCTACCGAACAACGAACCAGCTCGGACCACACTCACCGCGGCGGCGACAACACAAGTCGTCCACAACTTACGTGGCATATGGTTTCTAACATCATTTGGTAACACTACTGAGGAGGAAAGCATGTACGTTCCCTTGGAAGCCGTCGCCTCTGAATCCTAGGTCTGCTCATCCTGTGTCTACCACGACGGTATGATTATCCCGTACACGCTATATCTCCCCTGTAAATGGAAGACTGCGGCGACTGCGGCGATGTTCCCCCGTTCCGAGCACGTATCGTATAAATTCTGGATTAGTGTGACGGCACATGATACTTGCGACCGGGATCGTAGTAAGTTGCTGTCTGAGTCGGAGATGAAGAACATCAGCGTGAACCGCTGATTAGTGTGCCAATACCGCTGCAGTCATGGCATCCGGCTCGAACATAACACAATGGTCCCTTTGTACCCTGAGGCACTGGATGAGGGTCTACGAACATTTCTGTGGCTCCTGTCCAGCGCATGTGATAGTCTTCGAGGTGGCTCGGCTCGTCGTGGTCGTTGTGCATCTTGAGTGGATGAGCTAATACCCATGGCTCTGCCACTTTGGGAAAGCATCTTTTGTAAACTTCTGCATAATACATGGACAATAAACTGAGAAATAAAAGTAAAGTAGCTGATGAAATCTTATATCTATAGCCTTCTAAGATAATAATATTCAGGGTCTGTAGTATTGAATCCAATTCAATTTTATTACATCTTTGAAAACTGCTTCATTGCAATTTATCAATATTTTCCACAT